TTAAAATTGCTGCAGAGTTAAAACTGAATCACAGCAATCATCCAGGGACAGCTGAGGAGTTTACTACTGGGATGAAGGGGCATTGCTAGAATTGTGAAAGCCCTGGGCCGCTCGCTTGCAGTGGGCACCGCAAGATAGTCTGCCGTGCCGAACTATTGTTTTTGCCACATTATACTGCCAATGGGAGGGGTTTAAAAGGACTTAGTTAAATACAACCTGAGGATACTCAAAATATGCACAGCAAATACAGTATATGGCACACTCCTTATACCTACAAAAAAAGTACAAGTGAGAGTGTCCGGCACATATAAACCAAACCAGTGTTTGCTCAGCCAAAACCTCTCTTGGTTTTGGATGGAGTGGGGAGTGGTTAGAACTACTGTTAGGTTTTCAATGCTATTCAGGGCCGAGATTTGCACTCACTTACTATTCTACCAGACAAGAAGTGAAGGGAACTCCAATGGCAACACCAACAGAAATAATACGAATATTTTTTTTCTTTAGTAGAGTATTGGAACCCGTCATAATTTTTATCTGTCTGAGTCCCTGTTTCTCTTTACCCACACTTCCTGCCTGGTAAAACTGTTGTCACCAGGACAGGAAGTGAGGGTAAACCTGCCAAACAGAGCTCTGGAAAGAAGTAAAAACCCAACATGGCATTTAATCCTTCTCCACTCTGTCCAAAAAAAGAAAAACCTTTGGCTTGAAATATGAAACTCTTCCATTACATAGGTTTTTCTGCACACAGAATATTGACAGATTGGGGGTGATTTACTAACCTAAACACACGCACGCACCAGGTGTGTGTGATTTTCACACAGCAAAACGTATTTATCAACCAAAAAGTCTCTAAAAGCATATTTCCACTAATGCCATATATGGAAAAATCATGCACATGATGCATATATAATGCTGCTTCACAGTTTAGACAAAAATGGTTAGCTCATGCATTTACATTCCTGCATTCATCAACACAAGCAACATAACATAGAGTTAATTTACACCACATTACCTTGCAATTCATTGCAGGGCTTTGCACAACACACCTGCTGGGTGTGTACACACTACAAAGGTGTTTCGATTCCTCCCATAGATCATGCTGGGAGGGAACACACTACAGGGAGGGCCCTGGTAGGTGGGTGGCAATCAACAGCAGGCAAATTAAAAAGAAAAAGTGGTGAAAAAGCAGTATCAGGACCTGGGGCACCCAGCAAAAGATTACGGCAGGTGTCTGGCAATAGGAACAGCCCTGGAAGAAGGCAATCATGTAGATCACTTTTTATAATATGCAACAGAAATAAAAAATGTTAGGACTTGGACATTATACTACTCAAAGAGGTTAAATAGCTGTTTCAAATATGAATTAACTCAGAAAGTTGTGCCCAAAAAAAGAGAGGCAGAGGAGAAATGACTAGTCAACAGTATTGCATGTGGTCTCCCTGCAGTGGATTGTTTCCTCATTACTATCTTAGCATGCCTTGTTCTACTATTTTTCTGTATGTAGAGGTGGCCATCTTGGTAAAGGCTTGGTAGAGGCTTTGCTTTCTTATGTCATAGCCTCCAGCAGTGAGCAGCACAATAAGGATTTCAACTAACTTCACTGCAAATCGTCTGAGATTAGCAGTCAGAGGCAACAGTGTTTTATAACTCACACAACAGATATACAGCTATGAGGCTGTGTGCCCAAAAATGCCCAGGCACACTCACATACCAGGAAGTGCACTATTGCTCAGGAGGAAATTCAAACAAATAGTACATCTATCAGGGTACTGCTTAAGCAGAATTACAATTTCTAGATGCTGCCTATAACAAAGCAATTGTTAACTGTTTGAGTTTCATTCCACTTCAGTGTCTGTTATTCTAGGGAGGACGAAAAAGAGAAAGGTATTCAAATTTTTCTCTGCAAAACCTTGGTTGAGGCTTGTGGGTGCAGCATATAACATGGATTAGAAACCGCAAAGCTGTTCTCTTTTTAACAAGTAATATTGCCCTTGAGGTGTCATATTTTCATAAGAACTGATTGTAAATTATAGGCCAGGGGAGTGACTCATTTATTCAAGTATAACATTTTAATTATACCCATTAGAGTTGCTTTTTTGTATCTTCCCTTTAGGCAAATATCAAGATCACTTTGCAGTGCATCTATTTGTCTACTCAAATCACTGGAAGAGTAAGTTTTAAAAAGAGCCTTCACTTAGCATAACTCAGAGGAGAGGTAGTGGTTAAAGAAAATGATTTAAGATACAAAGAGAGGAAGTGTAATAATCCTCCCTTGCTGCCATCTTCCACTTCCACTAGCTGGTTTGTACAAGTGTGATATGATTAAGCTCCATTCCATCTGCACAATACAGCCCACACCTTTAAATATGGCTTGGTATGGTGAACCATTTCTGAGCAAACGTGTTCAAGTTGATCTAGGAAAACTATGTGTTGCCCAAGTTGTGAACTATGTGATCTCGTGATGTTGGCATGAGCAAGTCTTCTAATTACATCTTCTGATTTGTAACCCAGAGGGAACTGCTAAGATGTTCTGTCTGACAGCTGCCCTAACCTTCAGCCTGATCCTTTGACTATGTCTGGGGCCAGATTTCTGCATTGGTCACAAAAGCCATTACCTAGGGGGGCAGGACTGCATATTATGCGGCTGACAGTTACAGCCTTGCATATAATAACATGTTCTAGAGCACATCTTGTGCCATCCTGCTGGTTTATCACTGTTGCTACCACCAGCATGGCATTTCTAAGGACCAATTGATAGAAGATCTTGTGCAGCATATTTCCACTTCTAGAGCCTGTGCCTCAGAGAGAACCATCTGCTGCAGAAAAAAGGATCTAACCAAACCCCTGACAGCTGAATGTGATAAGGGAAGAACAGTTTAAGATAAACCAAAAGTACAAGGTGCACAATAGTGACATAACCAATGATGAAGGGCAATTTGCCTCAAACACAGCACTGTGACAATAATTCATGCTTTAAAGCAGTCACAGTTATTCAGTTGTGAGAATGATATGTGCAAAGAAAGTCAGGTTTCCACTACCAGCGTTACTGCAGATGATGACAATTATTGGAATACAGAGACATTCAACCAAATACCCCAGGGAAATATTATAGAATATTCAGGCCTTGACCTTTTGTGTAATTATGAGTGAGAGGAAAAAAACGAGGTGGAATATTAAAGAATGTGGTAACCAATACAGTTCTAAGGCTGCTCATCTGCAATGCATTTTGTAGATAAAAAAAAAAACATTAAAGGGAATTGGTTAGGGAGTGTCCAAGACAAAAGCTGAGCAGAATACATATTTTGTGATTACAGAAGCTTGTACAGCCTTAGTTAAAAAATCAAGGTGGTATTATAAGCAATCTCTTAATATTGTAAATAGTAGAGCCAGGAAAATTAGTAAAACTGGATTATTCTAACACAGTTGCATGCATTTTTCTACAATTGCCATTGGAAATATTTCACAGTGATTCAAGAGTAGATAATGTACTGAGAATTACAAATTGGTATAAAGGTTCAAGATTAAGGGCAACAAGTCAATAAATATAAAACACAAATGTAAACAGAAAAGCCACTGACATTTGTTTTAAATTGTAAGAAAAGGGCATTGTTCAAGGACAAAAACAATGCATAGTTGTTAAGATGCCTGGTGATGTTCTTCTACCTCCAGTTTAGAGGTGATGTTAAGTTATAGATGTAGTGCATCATTAATAAATGTGACAACCAATATACAGTTTTCAGTCATAGTAAATAAATAAGCAACAGTTTAAATAAGCAACAGGAATATACAGTTGCTGCACACCTCTGACAGCTGGGCAGCAGCCATAACCTAAGCTCAGTTAAAGTGCACCTGTGCCCACACTATGGACATTAAAGTATTTACAAATTATTGGCAGGCCCTCATTAACATTAATAGCTGACTGTACTGTAAACCAATACACCCTTAAAGATCCTCAGAGATTTTATAGTCAAGTTTCAGTCTGTTTATAACAGATTAAAAAAGAGTGCTGTTTGTTTTCATTAACCACCTTATATAGTCAGCCTTATAGGAGCGGGAGGGCGTCTTAAGACGTCCTTCCCCTGCTTGTGCACGGCTCTCAGAGCGCAGTATACAATCTCCCTCTGATCTCCTCTCCATCTCCGAATGCAGGTAGTGATGTACATTACATAAATTCCGCATTCTGCTGTTACTCTCCAGCTACAAAAGCTGGGGAGAAGCTGGTGAAGCAGATCTCTGCTTCCTCAGCTCTCACTGGGGGTCCCTAGGTGACATTAGGGGTCTTGGAGACCCCTGATGTCTCCATAAAGAGGACCTGTCATATAAATTGGCTTCTTAGCCCCCTTGTGATAGCAATCAATTGTAAAAAAAAAAAGTAATAATAAAAAAAATTAAAGAAGCCTGACAAAATTTTAAAAAACAACAAAAAAATTTTCCCCGCCCCTCACATACAGACGCAAACATGCGTTGGGTGCGCCTACGTGCGAAAACGACTATTGCGCCTATTGTGCCACACATGTTACATATTGGCGCGAATGTCGGAGTGTGACCAATAATTTTAGGGCCATCAATCACTGATAACACTAAACTGATGTGCAGTTAAAGCGTTTAAAGCGTCGCCTTTGGCAAATTTTCGGTGTGGTCGTTTTTTGCCGATCGGTGCCCCCCGCCGTTGTCCCGCTGATCCCGGGCTCCGCTGTGCCCCGGTGCGAGCCCGGGATCAGCATGTCAAAAGACTACAAAGATTCTGTTAATAGTAATAGTAAGTAATAGGAAAAGAGCTTAGATTTCAGTGCCTCTGCTGTGAACTTTGAAGATGAATTTCTCCACAGTGGTTCAAGCTGAGGTGAATGAGGGCGGGCTCGTTTTAAAGTGCTTTTACAGCATGTTTGGAATATGTAAATACTTTAGTGTGCATAGCATGAGCAAAGATTCACTTAAACATTTAAATCTCACAGACATCATACCTGAAGCAGTAAACAGAGAGAAATTGATTTACTCACCCAGGTGCCACTGCAGGAGGAATCACAAGGATGAACTGAAGCTTAGCTTGCTGTAGAGCTTGCCCCACATGTGTTAGCATATGGACCAGTTCCCTAAGAGGACAATACACAACAAACATTAGGACAGACATTCACATTTCCCTAAAAGGACAATACTGAATACACATTAGGACAGACATTCATATTTGCCTAAGAGGACAATTCACAACACACATTAGGACAGACATTCACCTTTAGAAAGGCAAATAATGAAGTGCTAAGTTCTCCATAGCAACTGATAAAAGAAGTAATCTTTCACTTGTCCAATTTCACTAAATTGCTGAAATCTATGCTGCTATAGAGAAACGCATATGCTACAGTCGTACTTCCCATTTATTTTATGGTTTATGTTTCTACTTTTGGTCATATACATCTAGTGACACAAATATTAGCAATTACTAAATAGTTTATTCATATTTTCAAAGATCACACCTCTGACAGCCATTTTTTGTTTGCCTAAATTGTATAGCAAAGGAATTACAACTCATCACAGAGAATGTGGATTTTAATACTAATCAAGGTGTAAGGCACAGAGGTGCGCAGGAATCGAAGACAAAAATCAAGCTCAATCACACTGGTTTTTTTTCTTGTTCGGTTATTTTCTTGATATCACGCCTCAGTTTACAAAGCTGCAATAATGGGCTTTATGTATCTGGGCCTGTAAGCAGCAGTGATTTACCACTACTTGTACTATAATAATACTTTTAGAGTTGTTTTTAACGGAACAAGTAGAAATGGATTTAAAGGACAACTATGAGCTGAGTGAAAATCACTCATCCTCATAGTTCGAGCCGACGTGTGACAATAGAACTGTCACACGTCGGATCTATAGATCGGCAAGTGAGCGAACACATACCGTCGCTCGCTCACTTCTCGATCATGTCCCTGCAGAGAGCCGTGACTATTAGTCACGGCTCCCTGCAGGCATTCCTGCCCCTCTCCACTCCGATCCTCCAGCGCTGACTGGAGAAACGGACGGGGGAGGGGGCGGGTACAGCTGGCTCTGCCTCTAGATAGGCAGAGCCAGCTGTCACTCACACAGGTGGGTGAATCTCGACAGTAATGTTGGGATCTGTTCCGGCTGCGGTGGTCTCAGTATACCGCGAGCTGTAGCTTGCGATATACTGAACTTTGGGTCACGGGAGGATGCAAGTTTATGTCCTCCCGTGACCCTTAAGAGAACTATGGGGAAAAACACTTACCCCGTAGTTCTATTTTAAATTATCAAAAGATCAGTCAGATGGTGATGGCTGTGTTGAGGCTGCACACGACAAAATCAGGGTGTCCCTCAAACAAGGGGCCCAGATTTGAAGATTCACGCTTATAAAGACTAATGAGAGTACCAAACAAATAGTTTAAAATAGTCTAAGAGCCCAAAAACATTTTACAAGTGTTAATTTAATGGTTGTTATTATAAATGCGATGTAAATATCAATTCACAAAGATTGCTGCACAGGTTATCACTAGATATGGGAGCATATAGAATTGTGGGGAGTAATAGCAGAGCATGGATAAGTGGACAGCAAACAGACAATTGTTACAACATGCAGACACCAAATAACAAAGCGTTACTATACCTAGGGGGAAAAATCCAGCATCATAACAGGGGCCTGGTCTGCCCCCCCAACTCCACTCCCACCTACACTTACATTTAATTCAGAACTAATACTGCATGCAGGGACCCCATTCCTGCTGTAGATACAGTGTCCAGAGGTGCTGGAGGAAGCGAGCGCCTCCTCCAAACTTTTTTCTTCTCCAGTATTGGTTAGCCACTGGGTGACTGGAATCAGCCAATTGGAGGGGAATCCGAATGAATTCCAGCTCGGCTGGAAACCTGGTAACCAATTTAATTAGTCAGAATGTGCAGTCCTAATCTAATGAGATTTGAGCTATGAATATCACTGCTTAAAATTAAACTAACTTTAGGCTGGGTAAAACTGAGTTTTAGTGTCTATGTGTAAATCAGGATATGGAGCCCTTCATGATGATGTTTACCATAAACATTTATAACAGATGAAGGTTTTCAACCAGTAAATGCCCATTTCATACAAAAACAAAAGTATTGCACACCTAACTCATGCACTGTATTGAATTGAGGCTAACATATTTTCATTTGTCTGCTTACAATAAAACCAAAATGGTTGACTTCCTCATGTGATAAATATACTGGATCTGGTCTCAAAGTATTACCCTAAGCGTCCCCTCCGCTCTTCACAAGACCTCCTGCTTTCCAGCTCCGTCATCAACTCCTCCCATGCTCGCCTCCAGGACTTCACTAGAGTGTCTCCCATTCTATGGAACTCTCTACTCCAACCTGTCCGTCTATCTCCCACACTGACTGCCTTTAGGCGATCCCTTAAGACTCATCTCTTCAGGGAAGCCTATCCCACCTCAACCTAACCACTGAACAATCACTTTCTCAAACAATCATCGCCGCGCAGCTACCTCCACATGTATCACTTGCCCCTCCCTTTCAGATTGTAAGCCCTCACGGGCAGGGCCCTCCTTACCATCTTGTCTTAAATTGTATTGTGACTGTAATGTCTTCCTTATATTGTAAAGCACTGTGCAAACTATTGGCGCTATATAAATCCTGTATAATAATATAATAATAATATACTTAAAAGAGACTGCTTTCTCAGTAATGCATACCTGCCCTGACACCAGAGGCAACAAGTGTCAGGGCATCTATATATTGTATTTAGACTGAGCAGATATCTCACTGAGAATGATAGTGCAGAGATATCCGTCTGACATCTTTCCGCAGTCTCCAGGATATGGAATATTTATGTATGCTCAGTTATGCACTTCATTCACTTTTCTACATTAAAGGAGAACAATTTAGCCATCTCAAAGATAGTGCAACAATTTGGAAAATCTCTGCATATAATAATAAGTGTTCTTTCTTCAAAACCAGCATTATCTTGATTTAATTTAAACTGTATCTTTCTCTGCAAATTAGATTTACGATTCCTTTTTGGAATCCGCAGTAATGTCAAAGAAATGGTGATACAGGTTGGAGCAATCTTTGATGAAATAGGGATACCTATTTTTCTGAAATGATTCCTAATAGCATTCTTCTTTTTTGACATAGGGGTGCGGAAATTAAATATTAATCCGTCGATTAAATTATTTTGATCGATCAAAGTTCCTTTGATCCATACTCACCTCTCCGCCGGCTTCCGGGTCTTCCGTCGGAGATCCGGTGACGTCACGGACATTGACGTCACCGG